CTTTGCGCTTATCAAATCTTGGCTTGTGAAATGGTGTATTTTAATTGATTGCTTTTTCACTTCACAATGATACTTTCATTTCTAGTCATAAGTGTTCGCTCGCATTTAGATGTGGCTTAGTGAACTCTGATTGTTAACCAAAATAATTTTTTGTTCTAACTTAGATGAGTGCTGCAGGCCTTGCATTGTTTTGCTGGCATATCCATTCTGTCCCTAGCTCTATTTCAAAAATATTAATAATTTTTTAAGGACATTTTATATCACCCATTACTAAATCAACTCACAACTAGAAGTGATAATTAATTTCTGTTAAAAAAAAAGAATTCTTTACATCCGAGCGAAGTAATTAAAAATAATAAGTTTGCAACATTTCTTTTCTGCAACATTGTATCTCTCATAAATTTTTCTACTCCACATATTCCACAAATTTAGCAAAGGCGCGTAACAAACGTTCCATGTTTGCTTTCTGAACAGCTTGTGGATGGTGTGTGTATGTACTAAATTTAGTACTGTACCAGAGAATCTATAATTACTTAATTTTATATATTATAATTATATAACTATTATAGATTCTTCCGCTGTATCAGATTAAATTAAGATGGTATTTTATGTTATTATTAAGTTATTATTATGGATTCTCTGAGTGTCCTTACTAATTTACATTCCACTAAATATAATCGACAGATGACGCTGTCATTGTGCAAAGAACAAAATTTGTTCCGTTTCCGTTTCAAGTCGTTGCAATAACATTTCAATAAATTTGAGGAACAAATTGATATTCAAGCAAACATGTATGTACCAGACAACGTGTATTATTCTAAGTTCTCTGCAAATATTTTCGTGAACGTCGTTGGTGACGCGAAAGAAGCTCCAGGAGCTCGGATGGGAGGTCCTAATGCACCCACTTTATATTCCGGACCAGGCACCAAGTGATTACCAACTTTTCCTGTCCATGGCGAACGCGCGTAATGGTGAGAAATTTGCCTCAAGAGAGGCCTGTGAAAATTGGCTCTCCCAGTTTTTTTTTCAAAATAGACGCAGCCTTCTACGAGAGCGCATAAAGAAGTTGGCATCAATTGGAATTTTGCTCTATAAATTGTAGATAAAAACTTTTTAGCGACTTTCCAATTTTTATGACCTGTTTATTATTATTTGCAAGCAGCTTTATATACCCAATAGGACAAAGATGTTTAGAGATCTTACATTTGCTTGAAAGAATAGTAATAAAAAATATTTTCAATAAACTATGCTTACGTCACCATACTGTTTAACAGATTTGGAGATTTTTTTTTTATTAAAAAATTACACCAAAATTCGACCAGGGTATACGCAACCTAAGAGCTTTACACGGATGAACTGCTGCCTTGGCGTTAATTCGCAAGTACCAGCTGTGGGAAATTTTAGAGGAAAGGAAAAGTTTCCATGTTGCCTTTTTTATGGATTATTAGATAATTAAGTATAGCTCAGGTCGCCTGTAGTACTTTATTAATCCTTCTAACTTGATGTGCGGCATAGGCGGCATTTTTGTGTATGAATGTTTGACGCTTTTTCCACAAACTCGCTTCGAAATTCATAACTTTTTACTGAATTTAAAAGTTCATCCTTTACTATTTCATTTGCTTTTGTGGAAACCAGCGAACGTATTCGTAAATATGACATTCATTGGGGAAATGTCAAATGTACCTTCACCACTATCTTTCTCATATCCGCATATTTTGTCGCACATAAAAGATTCTGCAGAAGCTGTGAGGATGAAGAAGGGAAGGAGAAAACAATTACCAAGCATGATCGTATTGGGCTTTGTGGGACCCTACTGCTGGATGGTCTGTCGAAGTTAGACGACGTCAAAGTCATAGATATAATGAAGTTCATTATGGAATCGAAATGGTTGGATGACGAAGTTACTAATGGTAAAGTTTTTGTGGTCTCAGTGTAATTGATGCGATTGTATTTGAAAATGTTTTTAAACTCTTAATTATGAATAAAGGAATATCAAATTAGTTTATGAATGTAGGGTTAAGAAGTCATCATTGGGTCAATATTCTATTTCGATGGGCTCTTATTAAAAAGGTAAAAAATGAATAAATATATCGAGATAAAATATTTATTTACTGGAAAAAAATCGTTTACTCATTACTCTTTTATTTGTAGTAATACATATGTAGCACAGTTATGATTTTACGATAAGACAGACTCGTTTTGTTAAAATAATTTCATTATTCTCCCAAATATCTACGTCACTTCTATCAATCACTTCCATCAATAAAGTAAATTACTACTTGGATGTAATTTGTGTTGTCTCACATCCTGTGTGGATTTATATAAATAATTCTCTTAACAGCAAAATTTTCAAATAATATTGGGTTGCCTTCAAGAAAGAAAAAACGGCTATTTTTTGAAAGAAAGTAAATAGATTTTTTTTTTTTGAATTTTAATAATGAACTTTAATCAGTTATGTAATTTCTATTATGTTGGATGGCCTTACGCCATCTTTTCGGCAACATCATTATTCCACGCGTATTGATCAAAGGTGTGTGCGGTCTAGCATTGTCCTGGTGGAATATGACATATTTACGATTGACTAGTTCTGGCCACTTCTCGCTGATGGATGTATTCAATTTGCCTAGTTGTTCACAGTAGACAGCCGAATTAATCGTTTGGTTCCTTGGAAGCAGCTCAAAATATACCACACTCTTCCAATCCCACCAAAGTGGCAGCTCAATCTTCTTAGGGTGAAACTCAGCCTTTGAGTGGTTCGCGGTGCTTCATCATACTTGGACCATGATCATTTTCGATTGACGTTATTGTAAATAATTTATTTCTCATCTCCGGTTATGATTTGCTTCATAAACGGATCTTATTCGTTGCGCTTAAAATTCATATCACCATAAGCATTGAAGCGGGCTGTTAAATGAATTTCTTTCAATTCAAACCCAAATACCAAGTTCTTTATATGTTACATAGCTATTCGATTCGATTTAAGGAAAAGTAAAGTAAAATATGACGGAGATGGTCTTTTGTGTGCTCCAAATTCAAATTGACGCTAAACAAACAAATATAAATAAAATTACGCGTACATTTTTCCAAAGCAAGCTAAAAGTGACAGCTTAACTGTAGAGGTTGTAATGTAAAAAATAAAATTTTTAAAATGAAAATGACTGTATGGTGCACATATATATATGTATAATACTTGCTCATAAACAATTCCTCTTACGTCATCTTCATTTCGATTTTACAATTCAAAGAACTGCACTCTACACAGATGAAAATAAATTATTTGTGTTGCATTGCACCTCCTTATCAGTTGGAGGCTAATTATTATACTCGTAAACTTGGGTTGCATCTATGTGGCTTAGTAATATTTTGTGTTGAAAGTTGTCCACAGCATCATCAACGCAAATAGATTAGAAGCGGAGACCTTGTCACCAATATTGACTTGATAGTGAATGAATCAGATCTGTCAATACCCAACAGTGCTTATCATAAAACGAGGAATATATATGTACATATATATGTATGGTGTGTAAATGTATATACATATATATATGTATGTATGTTGGCCTATGTAAAAGCGAGTGCATTCAAATCTTCTAAGAGTTCTGAAGATCAATTTAACAGCAATCAACTCGAAGCGTCTTATTGGAGTCTTCTTCATGATTGTGCAATACGCAATTTAGAGATGTTCCAAAAATTACTCATCCTCCGTATGCTCAAAATTTGATATATGAATATAATCACTTGTAGTAAAGAGGCTTCTCAGGTGCGAGGGGTGATCTAGTACTACTGATGTGCTGAGCATACTGAACCAGCATTAACACCAACGACGATATCAGCTTAGAAACTCAACACAGAATCCCTCTTGCCGACAGGCTTTACTTTGGACTGGGTAGGCAATTGCATTGAAATTAAGGCCACTTTCGACCAAAAGCGACCAAGCTCCACAAGTCACTCATCATTTCCGTCCTGTTATATTATGCAGAAGCATGAAGTTAACACCATCTCATCTATCAGTCAGTGTTTATAGTACACTGTTCAGCGAATTGAGAGGCAGCGACTACACTGGGCAGGTCAGGCAGGTTGGGATGAATATTCTAGGTTTGAAAATGTTTAGTACCCGCCGGTTGATGCGGAATAAGTACAAAACCTCTTCTCCGTTGGAAACGCTGATGGAAAATGACCTGGTTGTACTTGGTATTTCCGATTTTTTGGAAAACAGAGAAAAAACGAAGTGAATGGAGACGAGTAATGGTGAAGAGTAATATTAATAGTGGAAAAGTTCCCATGTATCATACATGCTTCAAAAGTCATACTCAGATAAGGTCGATAAGGAACTTTCGCACGATGTTCCTGCGAAGAAAGTTCTGAAGCTGCACTGGAAGTAACAGTTTTGGAAAGCGCCTAGTATAACGGAATAATTTGGACAGAAAACTCTTGTAGATCGAGCTTCTATGTGTAGGAGAGGGTGAAAAGGCAAGTGGTTCTGCTAATATCTTTTACAGTCAAGCTATTAAGCCCCCGCTACTGGCGCAGGTCCTCACTGTAAGAGTAGCTTCTGAGCTAGGTTGTATTGCAGGAATTAAATCATTTAACCCACATCGTATTGCGTCATAAAATGTCCTTAGCAGCAGTAAGGTTTTGGATAAGTTGGTTGCAAGCAAGAAACCCCACAGATACTAGGATCCCTCCGGCCACTAGGGCATTGTGTGCAACGAAAACGTTAATGAGATTGTCAGAAGTGCCATTCGTCGGGCGATCGAACCAGTACATGAAATACGAAAGTCGCTAGAAGCATTAAAATAACCGAGAGAGTTAGATCAGTTGGTGTGATGAAAGGTCTTAAGATCATATGCACTTTTTGTCTACGTGATGTTGAAAGGCCTAATCATAGATCACAAGCTGCTGCATCACACACCAGCAGAATAGGCATTATTAGTAGTTCCTGATGTATACCGAAAACCGAGATTGCAACAACAATAAAAAAAATCAAATTGAAATTACCGACTTGTAAACAAACATTTGCTTTTATTTATCCATTTAAAATGTCAAGTAGCAACTTAATTCTTGCACATTTTCCTCAACAAAGATTGTTCATTGGAAAACATCTGCATTTCTTCCAGACCTTACATACATACATCACAGTCTAATAGTTAATACAAATCTACTTTAAGTACAATTATTATTATAAAAATTATTACCTAAAAAACCATCTTCAAAAGTCGCACAAAAATCCTTTGGCGGAATTTCGTTTCTTTTTTTACCTTTCTTCATTCTTTTCCATTCACAGTTTTACCAAGTTCATCATCTACTTTACTTAATTTTAAAAATACTTCATTTAATTCTAGATCAGAGCGGTAAATTCCGGCCGCCTCCTCCATAGCTATTTGCGATTGTCGCCGCGCCACCTCCGCATTGCTCACTTTCCGTCCAGTGCGGAAATAATTCTCAATCTCGAGCAGCGAGCGACCCTTCGTCTCAGGTACAATGAAGTAAATGAACGCCACACCCAACAGCGAAATCGCACCGAAGAAAGCAAAACTATTTGCAGTCCCTATTAAGGTTTCCATGGTGGGATATAGTTTTACAACACTAAATGAAAACAAAAGTCCAATGCAGAGTGTGAATCCGTTCGCGCTACCTCTTACGCGTTGGGGAAACACTTCTGAGATCATGAAGAACGGCAGAGTTAGCAAACCCATTGTGGAGAAGATTATGTGCAACACAATGGCCACGACGGGTAATAGAGGCACATGCTGACCTATCGCAGGCCACCAGCCATTAGCGGCAAGTATCAACATACAAACGGTCATACCCGCCGCTGAGACAATCCCCGCCGGACGACGGCCCCACTTTTCGAAGATCGCTCCCATGAAGAATGTGGTTACTATACGCGCCACGCCAACAAACACAGCCACGAGCAAGGGATCGGCGGAAACACCCGCACGTGTAGCGATCTGTGCTGCAAATACAATAACTACCACGATGCCGGAGCACTGCTGAAAGAAGAATAAGCCAATCATCATGATGAGCGGTTTGTACACTTCAGGTGCGCGAATGGCTTGTAAAAGCGACTCATTGGCCGCGGCTGAGCGACTGAGATCGGAATTCTTTTTGATGAGCGCTAATTCTGTTTCAAATTCCTCGTAAATATTATTGTCTGATTCGGACGAAAAAAGTCAAGGAACAAGATATTATTTAGCTAAACAACTCATAGTGGAAGAGCTAGAATCTCACCATTTTTAGAGAGTCCACGAAAATATTTGAGCGATTTGCGTGCACGTTCCTCATACCCTTTCTGTAGCAGCCAACTGGGAGATTCGGGCATTGGCAGACAGCAACAGAAGGCAAAACATTGATAAACGACGGATATAATTGAGATTAATTTAAAGTTGTTCTGTAAAAAGAAGCAAATGAAACTCGTATATTCTTTAGACAAAATAGACAGTATCATTCTTCGGCGCTACTCACACGTATAAAATAGCCCAGCAAATACATGAAAAGAATACCGCAGGCGATAGCTATCGATGTGCCCATAATCAGACGTCCCCGTATGCGTGGTAAACTGATTTCAGCCGAATAGGAACCAATTGGCGAGAGCGATAAACCAATCATTAACCCTGTATACATACATACATACAAGATACATCGAAAATATTGTGATAAATTAATATTTTTAAACAAAATTAATTTTCGTTATAAATTTACCACACAGAAATCGTCCCACGAGCAACTGTATGTAAATGGCGTCGCGTGTGCTGTGGGATGGCGCCGTCACCAGCAGCAGTAGACCGACGATTCCAACGCAGTTCGTACACAGCATTGTATTTCGACGACCGATGCGGTCCATTAGATAACCCACAAGCAAACCGCCAAGCGGACATGCCATGCTATTGATGGAAGCTAAAAGAGGAAAATAAAAGTGTACTCTAGTGTAAGGATTAGGAAACTGATAACATGAGAATCAAAACCAGATTGTCATAAATATGTACCGCTATCGCCGCATTTTTAAAGCTTTCCTCCATTTTTAAGTTAATAATAGAACTACTTTGGATTATTGCTTTTATAGAAAGCTGGCATATTCTCATACCTGCTTTCTAATATGATGAGAGGTGAAGAAGATGAACAAGTCTTCTTTATTGGCGTTGGCGTTGGCGCCGCTTACGCAATTATAGTCTTTTCACAACTGTGCGTCAAGAAACCTTCTTTTCGCTTTTTGGAGCCAGTTGGAAATACCAAGTGAAACCAGTTCGTTCTTTATCTAATCCTTCCAACAAAAACTTAAGAACCAAGTCGCGAATGTGATGACTGGTTGGTGACAGGATTAGCTGTCATATTTCGTTTTGTACTCGTTCACTACCAGGTCCATTCTCTTCGCTTCTTTATCAAGTTTGGGGAAAGCATAACTCACGGCGCGGTTGTTAAGGTCTCTGATATCAATATCATCCTCACATGCCAATAGTCCACTTTTATAGAAGATTGAACCTTCTCTATTAAGCTCTGCAGCTGTTGTTATTTTCTCCAGCACCAGATTGAAGAAATCACACAAAAAAGTCACCCTGTCTGAACGTATCGAACGGCTCGCGCTGCACTTCTAGTGTTTTCCAGTAACAGTTTATACAGCCGTATAAGTTTTGCGGGGAAATCAAATTCAAAGGTTGCAGAGTAGAAACAGAGTAGAAACAGCTTCGTGCTGTCGAAGGCGGCTTTAAAATCGAGGAATAGGTGGTGTGTATCGATTCTCTTTTCACGGGCCTTTTCCAAGAGGCTTATCGCACGGTAATTGGCGCAGACTGTGGATTGGGCATAGCACACTTAAATTCCAATCATCGGTCATGCTTTAATCGGACTATATTTTTCCACGAAGCTGTTGCATGCAACTTGTCAGCACTTCACCACCATTTTTGAATATCACTGTCGGTAGGACGTCAGCCCCATTCGCTTTGTGCTTTTTTAAGCGGGCGATCGCTATTCGAACTTCGACATCGTCAGGTAGCGGAACGCCTGTTCCATCGTCATCGCTTGGAGTTTCGAGTTTACTATCTCCGAGGGTTTTGTTTTCAAAGCCTTTTAGCAGGCGGGAGAAGAGTTCCCTCCACAAATTTAGTATATTCTGGGCATCCGTTACCCCTCTGCGTACTACCATAGTTTGCTACGGTCTTGAAACCTTCCGTAAGTGGCCTTATCTTTTCGTAGAAAATTCGAGGATTACTCTTGTCGGCTAGCTTCTCAAGCTCCTCGTACTCAAGCATTTCATTCTCTCTCGTTTTTTCTGCAAATGCGTCTTGCCTTCTTCTTCAATTCTCGGTATCTGTCCCACCTAGAACGTGTTGTGGCCGATAAAAAGATTGCGAGATATGCAGTCTGTTTTCTCTCCACTGCAGTTGGACATTTCTCATCGTACCAGCTCCTTTTCCGGCACTACGGAAAACTAATTTTTCCCGTAGCGGTGGTACATAGAGAGTTTCCGATGCCGTTTCATACTTCTCTTATATAAAGTTGTTGATGCGTGCGCTCAGAAAGCAGGTGTGCAAGCCGAGTAGGTAAACTTGCTGCCTTGGGTAAAAAGCTCATTCTCTAGGTGTTGTGACTAAAAAATAGTTTTTAGAAATATAAACTATTCACTAAATTTTTCTTTTGCTTTTGTACTTCTCGACGAACTATTTGTTGTATTTCTAGGCAATCCAGTTTTCATTTTCATGTCTCATTTAATCTATTTATGCATTCATATTTTTAATACTGGGTAAACCAGTGGAACAGGAAAGACATATAGTGAGAGGAACCGCCGTGAGTTTATTGCCATGTTTCTAATTCCTGCCAGCCAAAAAAAAAATTTTGTTCTTTTTAGCATTTTGAAACGCTGTCAGTCGTAAGGCTCTAGGTTAAATAAAGTTAGATTGGGCTAGATATCACCTCTTCCTTGTATTTGTTATCCTCAACAAGGCCAAGTCTTAAAGCATGCGACGCTAGCAGATGATGCACTCCTAACAGGTTTACTAACAACCTGGAGTATGGGTTTTTTTGGAACACAATATTCGTTATTTTAAAGCCCTCATTATTAATTTTTATTTTTAGCCATCAGTCCACAGAAATAAAATTAATAAAAGTAAAAAATCCTGCCCGCACTAATAGCTGAATGGTGAAAATCTATTTTTGAGCGTTTTATATCTCTTCATCTACACAAGTCATCTGTCCAGCATCATACGCCCCACTTAAATTTCGACTGAGTCCTGTTTATATGTGTGCTAAAGACGAACTCGCGAAGTACTCGTATGACGTATTTTACCCCTAATACTTACCAAACCAACTACTCTCTTCTGTATTCAGGTTGTAAATATCATTTGGATCTGTTAGTTGAGCAAGAGACACAGAGGGTAATGCCACAGACATACCAGAGGCCACAACGCATGTATTACCAAGTAGTACCATAAGTTCCTATTTAAAAATGTATATATACATACATACATGCATTTATGAATAATTTAATAAAATGTACGAAAATAATTATAATATATAATTTAAGCTACTTAAAATACAGCAAACATAGTTTACCTGACGTAAAACTGCCTTTTTGCGTTCCCCCAAGGGTTTCGGTGGTTTCGTTTTATCAAGTCCTTTGACAATTAAAACTTGATGTGTTGTATTGCCGTTTTGTAATTTTACTAATTCTGATTGATTCGTCATTTTGATGGCGATGGTATTTTTTTAAATTGAGCGCAAATTGATGCAAACTGAATCCTGTAAATAATGGAAAGAAATTATTTTATGAGTTTTAATAGCTAAGAAAGGGGGATGTTTTACAGGGATAATATGAGCTACCATGGAATGTGAGTTTCTTTTATACTAAAATGGAAACTGTATTACACGTTCCATTACGTGAATATGAAGAAACACATTTCTCAACAAAACGGTGATGAATTGATGAAATATGTGCGTCGGTGTCTTCACAAAAAATACGATCGCCGATTGGAACATGACTGTGCCCTGATCTATTGATCAGCTAAGCAACACCATAAGTGCCGCCAGAATTGGGAAGGATACCTCCAAGCCGGGGTTGTAATAAGTAAACAAGAGCGAACGCCTCAGAATTAAATGTTATAGAAAAGTTTCGAGTTTTAGAAAGAGCTCCAATTGCTGGCGTATGATATTGGTATCATTGGCCTCAACAACTGCGCTGAATGTTCCACTATCTCACTTAGTTATTTTCGTTTTGGGAACATCGAACACCAGAGAGATGGAATGAATGAAAACAAAAACAGCTGTAAAAGTATTCATTGCTGCAGGAAACAAAGGAGCAGAAAGATATTGCCGCCGCTTAAAGATCATATTGAGAAGGATCTGGTTTCCCTTGGCGCCTATCTACGAACATGTCGTTGTTGTTAATTCGGCTCTAATACGGGATGCGGTTCTATGCCTTCAAGCTTAAGAAAAGTGCAATAGCAGCGGCCCAGTCTGCCTTTTGTGACTAAAGCATACATACGAGTACATAAACAGCTGAACCAAACAATTTTTCTTGTAATGAATTTAATATTCATATTGACGGAAACGAAAACTTGAGTACTCGTTTTGTTTAGGGGATGTCCACAAACCGCGTAAATCGGATCTCGCTTCAGACCAAAGTTGAAAATTCTGTGCCGTCATGCTCCCAGCAAGAGAATTTTCACAATTCACAAGAATAAAAGGACTGTTTGTACCGTCATAAATTGATCTACCTTTGGATGGGTGTAGCACCACCAATTTCAGGGTCATAAATATGCTGCCTAGAAGCTGGACAAAATTCGACAAATTTAAATTTTGTAATTTTTATAATCTAGTATGAACCAATAAAATATGGGGGTAAACGATCAACAACTATGCCTTTCTCCTTTATAACGAATTTTTTGTTTGCAATCTCCGCTTGACAAACACAAAATCGAATAAATAAGGAATTAATCAACAAAAATGAATATGGTAGATATGCTATTTTTAATAGAGACTAGAAAAATAGATCTCCCTTCCATACAGCAGACCTGCTATTTTTTACCGATCTGTGTACTCACTCCAAATATCATTCGAGTACCTAATTTCCGGTTCCATCCGAACTTAGTCTTGCTTGTTAGTTGCCGAAGAACACGATATTTATTTTTATTTGAAAGTATATCCACAAAACTGACTATTCAATACGAATTAATAGAAATATGTTCTCTAACTGACGGCTGGGATAGCAGTGTGTACTGCTTCGACATCCAAAAATTATAGAAAAAAATTAATAAAAAAATATAAGTTAAATTCTCGAAACGCGATCACAACTCAACAGGGAATTTCAACTCAAGTAAAAGCCCCCTTAAAAAAACATCAGCCGTTTGGCAGCGGTGCTTCAGCGCTTAAAAACCCCCAATTATATAATATATATATATATATATATACATATATATATATGGTTTCAAAAGTACAGAGCCGCGTTTTTTTGACGTCTGTCAAGTTCATTAAACTAAACATTATTTCCTTTAGTTAAAAGGTCTACAAGTATAGTGATTCAAATGTTGCCACGTTTCGTGCCTTAAAAGAATATTATGGTGCACTCAATCATCCATCTACTGGAGCAATTGGTAAAATTTAAAAAAACTGGATCGTTAACAGATGTTGTAAGACCGTTTTGCACGTAATACCTTCAACACCGTTACAATAAGTGACCGGAATGGGACTTTCTTTTGGCGCATTATGGCATATTTTTCACTTGGACTTAAATCTCAGTTTATAAAAAGTTTAGCTCACACAACAAATGACAATGGACTGCGATTTTTCGAACAAAATCTTCTGCAACGAAAAGGCATATTTCTCACTCGATGGATACATAAATGAGCCAAATTGTCGTATTTAAGGCTTCATAAATTCTGAAAATAATTTATTAAATAATTAATAAAAAAGATGAAATATCAAAAAAAAAATACTGTCTCTTGCGCTCTTTGGTCCAGAGGTGTTATTGGACCTATTTATTTGGTGCTGCAATTGAAGCACACGGCGTGCACAATATATAATATTGCCTCAACAAGACGGTGCCACATACCACACAACATGAGCGAATATGGCTTTATTGCGAGGGAAATTTCCCGACCGTTTGATCTCTCGTCCTGGCGATGTCACTAGGCCACCGAGAGCGGTAGATTTGACATCGTTGGACTACGTGAAAAACTGTGTTCGTGCGGATAAGCCTTTAACTTTTGGGCACTTGAAAACCAACTTTCGTCAAGTTATCGCAGCGATACTGCTCAATATGTGTCAAAAAGTGGTCGATAATTATCTCAAACGGGTCGAAGTTTTCAAAAATTCATTTCAGTGATGTAGTGTTTCACCAGGTGCAAACATTATTTAAGAGCCAAAAAGAAGTTTCTTTGAAAAGTTATTTTAAATACATTTCGTTTGAGTTTATTTTCGAAATCGCTCAATGGATAGCCCTGAACATATAGGATGCTTAAACATTAATCGCAGTTGTTTTATAGTCCTCTAGAGGTTAAACAAATACATACGAATGTATTTAAATTCTTCCAAACAAATTCATGCTTGTAATTCAATAAAATGTAACGAAATATTTTAATTAAAAACAAAATTTGTAAAAAAAATTTACTCACCAAAAAATGCACTTTTAAAATAATGCAAAATTTCGTTTCGCTCCCGATGGCATTTAAATAAAAAAGCTGTGTCAACACAGTCCCTCAAATATTTACAAATTGTCTCTGGATACCGTCATTTATTTATAACTTGCTTACATAGAACATATTACTTATCACATAGATATGAGGTCATAAATGCAATCACTTTCAGACAATATTTATTTTTATTTTTTCTCTTGTTCTCAAGTGAAAATTTAAAGTTATGTCTTCACTACACTTTATTGCTTTCAGTGTTTATTAAGAAACGCTTCTATAAGTTAGAAGCATTTGCACTACCATATATCATATATAGTATATGTATATATTTAAAAAAAAATTTTTTTAAAAACATTATTTATTTCCCTTGTCTTAATGTTATTACTAACTTTTGCCACTTTTCAGTGTTGGATATCTTTACTTTGTAACTGGATACATTCGCTTACATATGTACGTACATATGTTCGTACGTGCAAAAGTTGAAAAATTCCAATTGTTAAATGCATTTAATAACTCTTTATTTACAAATGCTTGTATATCGGCACTTGCGCGATAATCCCCGCCACTGCTTTGGCTAACTCATGTACGCGCGTATTGCACCGTTGTGTAGGAAACTTGAATTGTTAGTCGAAATGAAAATCCACACGCTTGGTGGTTCACTAAATACTCTCCGTTAAATATTCTGTTTTATATTTTTTTATTGCCAATGAAGCAGTTACCGATTTCGATGCTAAATTTGTGATTCAATTTGTTTTGATTGAAAATCCTACAGCTGATCGCCACAGCTGTTATAATACTAACAAACCGTTAATGTTTTGCATTGTAGTATATATGTATATGTGCACAAGTACATTGTAAATACAGTTGTTGGCAGTGAATTGGATTCGTAATTGAATACTATATTAACAGGCCTCACTCAATTCTCACTGTTGCCGGTAAAGTAAATTTTGTTACTTGCTTTTAACACCCGAAATCGACGAACTGGTTACAATGTTTGAAAAAACTTTGGCAGCACTGCTTTTCTCGTCCTTGTCAAATAACATTTACCAGTGGGTAAAGTAAAAAAAAGAAGATTATTCACATCGAAATGGAAGACGATGCACAAAATAATTTATTTTATTTATTTGTTAATTAAATCATAAATATTTGAAATTAATTTTGGAAAATATGCCCAAACGACAATAAAAGCTGAATAAAAATAAAAATGCTTTCTTCCAATTTAAAAAGATAATTTTTTCTCGCAAACTTCTTGCATAAGCTTTTTTGCACTTTTTTCTGCATTTCCAATGAGTTCCAGACCTAAAATATGCCTACCCATTTTGGGTTCTTATTTTTTCTCAAATTAACAACACAAAATCAAAAAGTAGTTTTTTTGTTACCGCCTATTTCTCAGGTCACAAAACTTATAGGGTGACAGTGAATTCAGAATACGAAATAGTAACGAATTTCACTGAATTGTAAATTTTATTACCACGACAGAATTGGCCTGTAAATCATACTATGCAACACCAAATTGCCAAATAGTGAATGTCTGCATTATTCGTTCGTAGCCACATCTATTGGTATTGAATTTCGAAAAAAAAGTTAACTTTTGTGATAAATTGACCATTTTTCCACCGTGTCGTGCTGCAGAAGCACTTGTAGATGCCGACGTAAGCATAGCTGAGGTGAGGTGGGTTACTTTTAAAAAAACCAAAAATTCATTTATAACTGTTTGTTTTCAGGCCAATAAAAAATATATCAAATGAACTTCATTAAATTATAATTTTATTTACATATATTATGCAAAAAATAAAATAAAAATAAAAAAAGAAAAGAAAACCAAATTGTATGGAAATACCAGATTTCATGGAGCTTTTAGGTAGTCACAATGCACTAACCAGAAGTTAGGTAACCATAGCTTGGTCAAAACGAAAATATTACATCAGCCTATCTGACGGTTAGTTATCCTCAGATTAAAGATTAAGTTAATCGGACTTTGTGAAAACGGGACTTAATTGTTGAAGGCGAATTTCCTCTTTCCTTAATTTAAGATGTGCGTCTTGATGGTTTCCATGGATGTCTACCTGAGTTCATCTACGACTACTCTATTGAAAAAGAAGGAAATGTCTGTGGCAACCCTGGTTAGAAGTATCACCACAATCTAAGTAGGATAAGTGTGCGAATGTAACATTAAGAGCACTTGTGGAAATATATCAATTAAGCTTTGAATTTTCGTTGACAATAACTATTTATGTAAATAGATTTGTACTTTTGATAGCACTTCATAGGAATTAAAAATGTTTTTTCAGCATACAAATTGCTCAAAAGAAACAGTACAATGTCGTATCCAATTCACCTAAATCTCAAATTAACTCTTCTCTTTCGTAATAAATTAAATTTACATGCAAGCACGTGTAAGGAGACCATTTGATATTTCCGTTTTTCTAATCAACAGCCAGCAATACGGTTATTTTCAAGTACAATATTTGTTCCAAAATAAATTTATTTACATATTTATACTTTGAAGACTGATTGAGACTTTAATTTTGATTTTAGACAGGGAGACTAACTATAATTTGTTTTATGGATCGTGTGAATGCTGGAGTTTTAATAATATCATCGGGATTGAAATTTTTGACACCATTCTGTAAATTTTGATACTATTTCGTATTCTGAATTCACTTTCACCCTGTAAATTTTGTGACCAGCAAAATAAAAGGTAACAAAAAATCTACTGTTTGGGTTTGTGTTGTTAGTTTGAGAAAAAATAAGAACCCAAAATGGAGAGGGCATATTTTAGGCCTGGAATTCATTGAAAATGAAGTGTAAAAACGCTATTGCTAAGAAGGTTGCGAGAAGAAAATGGCCCATTTAATTTGGAAGAAAACGTTTTCTTTCACCTTTTTTTGTCGTTTAGGCATATTTTCCAAAATCAGTTTCAAATGTTTATGGTTTTATAAACAAATAAATAAAATAAATTTTGTTGTGCACCGTCTTTCATTTCGATGTGAATAATCTTCTTTTTTAATTTACCAACTGGCAAATGTAATTTGACATGGACGAAAAAAAACAGTGCTGCCAAATTTTTTTCAAACATTGTAAGCAGTTCGCCAGAATACCAAAATCAATTTCGGTTGGTAAAAAAAGTAACAAAATTTACTTTACCTGTAACAGTGATAATAGGCTTGTAAACGTGTTTGCTCGGAATTGTTTGATCTTGAATAAATATGTTTTAATCACTTTTCAATAATCTCTTGAACTTCATAAAATACACCAAGCGATTTGGGCGTATGGAAAGGTGAGAGGAGTTTTCTTCACATGCCCAACATTGGTATCAGCACGAACCAACAGGCCAAGTACGTTTGGTCAGGATTCGGATAAATGACTAGATTTACATATATCAATATTTTTAGCGGTTAAGTTTTAATCTCAAAAGTGTTGAGAAATTTAATCAACTTAAGAAGTAAAGCCACTCTAGAGGTTGATAAACAGACTAATTTTTTTATATTTATTGTAGGAATATGGGAAAAAAGAATTCTATTTAGCCATTTCATTGAATATATATTGAATTACAAAAAAATATTCTTTAATTATTATTTTGTTACAAAATGACGGTGATAAAGTCCATTATTGAATCCACGTTTTCTTGAAAGGCGTCCACGGAAGGACCGATTTCTTCTAAAGGATGAGATCTCGAGCAGAGAAGCAAAAAGTTTTATGATCTACAAATTATGGTCTTTGATAGTAAGTACGGATTTATTTTTTTTTTCCACTAATTTTTGTGAAAGCTACAGGCTTTTTTTTTAAAAAGATTGTTTTTTGACTAAAAGATATGCACCAAATTGTTAAAGAAAAATGTTTACATTTAATCGAAAAACGGCTACATATTTAAAAAAAAATATTTTTGAAGTTCTCATAAAAATCTCAGATAAATCGATGCAATGAGGTCCGAATAATCTGTCCTCCCAGTTTGAAAAATGTGATTTTGAGAAAAACGCGTTCAAAGTTGCAGCAAAATAAAAAGCTCAGCTATTGGAAATATTTTTTTTTACTTTAAAACCAAATGCATATCATTTCCAAGGACCCAAATTTTCAAGTTTAAACATTTAAAATTAATTGAAAATTTCCACGTATTCTTTATTTGAATGAGGTGGATTTTTTTAAAGAGAAGATCGTAGCACGATAATAAACGAAACATATTTAATGTCAAATCGCTATGAGGCCGATTGCAAAGCGAGAATGAAACTACCTTTAAATTATTGTATCATCATTTTAAGTACCGCATAAATTTTTTTAATTTTTCGCCCTTCTGTATGTGAATAAACAAATACTTCGATCGGATGTGTATATATCTCTGGAGGCATTTGAAAATTCGAGAGAACCCGGTTCGTATTCTACTCATTAGATATTTATCTTGTATATGGGCAAAAAAGGCAAGCTGTCGAGAAAATTGTTAAAAAAAAACATTCCTAAATAGGTTGTACTCGGCAGTGAAATAGTTTCAATAAATTCTAAAAAAGCCTAACTGGTTTCTAACATACCTTTGGCTTTTGACCGACCTGTGAATTAAAGACCAAGGACTTAAGCTTAGTCTATAAATTTTAATTTTACTTCGAGGATTATCCTTCATATCTTAAGCATTAAAAACGAATTTGGGTCCGTAAACAAGATTTTTGCATCTTCTTTAAAGACAATACGTAAAAACTTAATAAATTCATTGAACTTTGTCAAATACTATTCAATCTGCGTAAAAAATTTCGAGAGTTCTTTTTCACGTCCATACTTTAGGATGAGAGTGAGTGGAAAAAATTTACAAAAAGCTGGTCTTGTTTCCAATTGTCTGTGTCTGAGCTTATGTTCTAGGTATCGGCGTTCGTTCTAGATAAGACTGACTCTTCGTTGAATGCATTTCAGAAATTATTACTGAAAACAAGACGAATTCAATTTATATACTTATCTACATATAAAAAAAAGTATAATTGATACTTTAGAAGCACTAAAGCGATTTTAAGCAGAGCTTCGCCTTCAACTTTTGGTGCCCGCCTTGATGTTTCAACATATGATCCATAATTTATTCTTAGACGCGTCCGAACAGCCGATGGATTTCTATGAGGAGTTTTTATTTCATGTTAGCAATTCACATCTACAGTGGAGACCAAAAGTGAACACATATTTTCATGTTTCGTTTTTCAAGGACATGAAAGAAATAAAATAAGAACAGCTCGCATGTATATACATGTACTCGTATTTATGCCCTTCTGGGATTTGAATTTTCCTATCAGTAAAATAATCAAAATTCACCATTAATAGCTTAGGTACTTTTTCTTTGATATAGTTATAAGGTACATAGTATTATTTGAAGTATTGAAGGGATTACATCAGGGTAGTAGAAGCAATTTTTCATAGAGTGCAAAAATTATGAGGACGTAAGACTACTGAGCTTATCTTTTCATGGGACGCTCTAGGCTTTTAACAGATGCGTGCGAACGTATTATGATATTGAATGTTGGAAATTCTAGCTTTATAACACCTAAGGGAGGGCTTGCTAAATCATTAATGAGTATGTAAGCTGCTGGTAAGTAAGAAGAGCGCTGCCAAAAATGGGTTGTACTTCAGCAGTGAAAAAAAAAATTTGATTTCATTTTGCAATTTCGTCAACCAACTCCGAAACCATAGATGAATGGAAGCGGATAATTTGGTTGCATTATTTAAAACTTAAGAGTAATATCCCTCAAACGATACAATGTCAAGCACGGTGGAGACAGTGGAACAGTTTAGAGCTGATTTACCTAGTGGAATATTGGGTCGCTACACAAAATAGATGGCACAAAGCGCTAACAGCGAATATGAAATAGTGTTTTAGCTAGATGAAGATCCCAAGTACCTTTCTATATATAGTCCAGCAAATATAGCTGGCTAACTAAAGTTTCCAGATTTTATTTCATTTTTTAAAATGGCCGACTCAAAGTTCTGACCTGAACCTAAAGTGGATAATTGTGAATAGAGGATTTCCAGGGTTCCATCAAATCAGAAGGATTTGAAAAACTTTGGTTCAAAGTATGCCAAATCATACAGAAAACGTTATAAAATGCAGTGATATTTTAAATTAAAATTTAAAATTATTTTTTACGTTGAAAATTTTTAAATCCCAAAGCAGTATAAGTGAGTACGTGTGAATTGCTTTTACTTTCATTTTTCACTTCTTCAATACCCAGCTGTGCGGTGAGAGTTTTTCGCTAATTTGTAGTAAATAAAATTAAAATAAATGAAAAAAAATATTTGGCTAAATTTGCTGATTTTTTTTAATCTGTCCGAAGAGCGGCACAAGCACACTTTTGCTCGCCACTGTATATTTACATGCTCAATTTCAAAATTTATGAGCTCTATCCCCCAAAATTGCGTAATGAAAAATGTGTTCGTTCTTCTATTTTTGTTGCAGATCGATTATGAAGTACCGTTACAACGTTAAATGCACACTTATGCTAAATCTAATGTTATTTGTGCACATTTTTGTGTGCGTATGGAGAATTGAATTCCTTGTCACTTAGGTCCTTTTAGCGGTTAGAGCTCGATGTGTATTCATACCTTTTATATTATATTTTGGAATATAAAGCTGTGGTATTTACTCGGAAATTCAATATAATAGAAATACATTGGAATTATATTCTTTATTGCACGGCACTTGTATTTGTCTAGACCAACGGATGTTACAGTAAATTAGTGTCCTTAAGAGTCGTTCAGTTCCTTGTGACACATTCTAAAGACACACAACAACATTCGAAACATCGAACAACACAATTCACTTGAAGGACGGCTTATCAAAAAAAAAAAAAAAAGAAATTAGAAATATGTAAAAACCGTTAGTAATATTATAAACGTTTCCGTTAATATACGCTGCTAAGCGTCCGCGTGCTTCGAGCCGTATTCGAACAATGCCCAAACATCGAAAAATTGCTGTAGCCAAAGTGCAAATAGAATCGTCAACCAATACCGGCAAACAAACTCAATTCGATTCAAATTGAACGATGAACAATGAGACAAATGGCAGAGGACAACTATGTACGTATGTATGTATGCACTTCACATAGTGTTGGTTCTTATTAGCCGAACTCACGCGACGTTACCGCCACTCAGTTGACCGATCAATTGCCGCGAATCAAGTCACCAGGCACAAGTCGTTCAAACAGCGATGTACATATCTACATTAGGGTGTTTCTTGCTCACCTAACTTGCCCCTTTTCATTTTTTCAAGTTTTATATATGTTTTGCAATTTTTATTTTGTTTTTTTTTTTTTGTTTTTTTTGTGTTTCTTGCTCACCTAACTTGCCCCTTTTCATTTTTTCAAGTTTTATATATGTTTTGCAATTTTTATTTTGTTTTTTTTTTTTTGTGCTTATTACATTCGAGAAATTACTAAATATTATGAGTTATGCTTACGTTATTAGGTTTTTAGTCGGTAATTTTCAAAATAATATCGAAATTTTGCTTCATAAATTTTTAGTTTTCATAAATAAATCTCGCAAATAATGCACTTGGCCAGCGCTTAATGTATTGTACATAGACTTGCATATTATGCACTCGAAGCAATATGTGAAAATAAATAAAAATATACATACAAACCTACATATGTATTCGTATATGCATGAAGATGTTCACCCTATGACTAGAAGATGAGTTCTTTATATTTGTTGTTGTATTCGAATGCTCATCGCCCATAACATAAATTGCAACTTGGCAAATTGTGCAATTTTATGGCTAACAGTTTGCCCGCTCTTCAATTCAACTTAATAATAATCGCGGTTAATAAGTAATGTGAAGCGACGCGACTTGTAGGGACAGTGCCCGATGCTCAGCTTTGTTTCGGTAGGTAGGTATTCTCAATTGTTGGAAAATTGCGTCAATATAATACTACTGTTATGTTGTGCACTATGCACTACATACACATGCATGCAATATGCATATGACCGTATGCATGATGATATGTACATACGTATATACATTTGCATGTATGCACATTTGAAAAATTGCAAATTAATGAAATCAAATCGAAATGCAGCGTTCATTACAACGGTTCGCACACGGAACACTTGCAACTTTAACTGATATGCACATACATATATATATATATATATTTACAAATACATAATATTAACAGTTATGGCTTACGTTAACAGCAAATCAGCAATATATTTGGCCATTGCTATCGCAAAAAAAAACAAACAAACACCCAGTTTCGGTGGCATAATACCTTGTATGTACCCCCCGAGACCAGATCCCCTTACAATATACTCAACCCACAAACATACATATATACTTATATACAGAAATACATAATGCAGTGAATGCATGTAAGTGTAAACGTGTGTAGTTCCGCTCGCAGTCATTCACTCGCCAAATGAACTTGACATTGGCAGCAGCCAATTTTCGTTTTTACCCTCCAATGCTTGTCTTGTCTACAGTCTACAGTGTTTTATTTCACAATTGAAAACTATAAAAATATAAAACTATAAAATATCATAACATGACAAAAAAAGTTTTTGTCGACTAATACAAACAAAAATCAGCTGTTTGAGTTAATTCACTTTCAGTGCAAACGGTTGACTTTTCATTCACTTCACATAGGCCTTAAATGCATTTAAGTGCTCGGTGGAAACAGGCTATAAGATAAAGGCTGAATTTTTAAGAGCTATAGAAAAATGTTTCAAAAAAAAAAAGAAAAAAAAAATCAGAAAAATGCATGAAATCTTTATTTGAATCAATAGTACCGTCCATATAATTTACTGTTTGAATATTATTTCATGCAAATGTTGACCGTGACTGCACCTCAAATGGTCCATCCGCTTAGTCCAATTTCGACATACTCTTTTCAACATTTCGGCCGGTATCTCACGAATAAATGCTTTAATGTTGTCATCCGATACTTTAAATGAAGCGGACTTGTCTGTATAGACATTAGATTTAACATAGCCCCACAAAAATAGTCTAAAGGCGTTAAATCGAACGATCTAGGGGCCAATTGACCGGTTCCGAACGTGAAATCAAATGTTCACCGAACTCGCCTCTCATTAAGTTCATTGTTATGCGTTCCGTGTGGCAAGTGGCACCGTCTTGTTGAAACCACATGTCATGCAAGTCAAGCTCTTGCATTTTGGGCAAAAAAAAAAGCTTGATATCATCTCACGGTAGCGCTCGCCATTCATAGTTACGTTAGGATTCGCTTCAGCTTTGAATAAGTACGGTCCAATGATGCCACCAGTCCATAAACCGCACCAATTTGTGACTTTTTCTGAATGCATTGGTAGGTCTTGCAATGCTTCTGGCTGATCTTCACTCCAAAATTGACAATTCTGCTTAATGGGTGTGTAAATTAAGCCGCAAATGGGCTTCGTCGCTGAACACAATTTTTTTTTAAATGTAAGACGTCATTTATATAAGCTTCCTAATGAATTTAATTTATAAACAATAAATGAAAAATTTATTACATAAGAAAATTGCTTCTCATAAGTATTTTTAATTTTTTTGCCTTGAAATTATAATAAATTCACTACATTCTAGGTATATTTTATGCATTATTTTTGAGCAGAAGGAAAGAAGAGTGGAAAACATCTTTAAATAAAATATTTTATTTTGTTGGGATCTCTTATCTGGATGTGTCATATCTGGATTTTATGTTACCGTATTAAGTTATTTTATTTTAATCATTATAATTGCGGCCACCCCTCCGCAGGGAGTATATTCTGACATGAACTAAAGAATTCTCATAAAAATCCATCTGCCGTTCGTAGCCGCCTTTTGTTTGGAAAAAAACATTATAAGACGCATACTACAAATTTGCGGAGAAGATCTGTCGAAAATCGCTTCAGCGGTTACAAAGCGCCAATTATATTTATATCCATTTCGTTATAGACCCTTTTTCATGTCACAAGAAATCAATATTACGCTTTGCAATCAGTAATTTTATACAATAAAATAATAAAATGTCACACTGTGCAGCGCTTCGTGGGTGAATCGAGTGTAAACGAGTGAGTTATAATTTTAGTTGAACGCAACACAAAACCACCTTCGCCTTTAATGTTTATACTTTCTGTATTTGCAACCGAGGGAGGGAGAATATTTGCTTTTTGACTTTTGCTTTCTTAGGTATTTTCATTTATTTTAGTGTTTTTATTTTGTTTTTGTTAATTTCGCTGCCTATATTATCAAAAGCATTTATTTATATTTTATGATTTTCCTTCTCTATTTCTATTGCTGGTGTTTTCTGTTTTGCTTGGCTTTAATTACTTAAACTGTACTACAATATTGGGTCTCAATTACTGTAAAAGTTATTTCTAGTATCGACGATGAGGAGAAATTTCAATTTCAACCTATAATTTGGATACATTTGGGTAATCAATGTTGCCCTTACATTCGAAAACGGTAACACAGGCCGACACGATTTTGTAACCAGAAACTGGACTATACTTTTTCGAAGGTTTTTGACGTGCTGAATCTGGATTCAAAACAGTTCCAGTTTTTGAGGAATTCCAACTTGAATATTTAATAGATTTTTTTTGGATTGCTATTCTACCTGAATATACCACTTCTACTCTTCAAAAGCCATTTTGAATTTTTAAATAATCTTTTTTTGCCTCTGAGAAATTGTCTACTGAATTTACTGAGTTTGCCAAATTATGGCATATTGGATCCGCCATTTGAAATGGTTGAAAATTGTCATCGGATTTCATTTAACCAGCACCCACACCCTCACGAAAAAACAAGTATTTTGACTTATTTTCAAAGTACTATTTGGTTCTACTCGATTTCTGAAATTTGAAAAATTTGGATAACTTATCAAAAATCTTCGGAAAAGTAGAGTCCTGTTCCTGGTTACTATTAATCCTAAAAAATCAAAATTAGTACAAGTTGAGGTACGAATATACCTAAACTTTTTCAACGAATCGTTAGATGGCAAAACGAAGAGTAATTTGAAACACTAAATTGTAACAGAGTGTTTCTCCATATTTCTTTTGATATGTTTACTGCCGAAGTTAGTTTCAGTGGAGGCCAATGCAAGACTTGTGGCTATTTCCTTCTCTTTAATTACTTAGTGAAGAATGGGAGGTGTAATCTTCCTTTAAGGAAAACACTTGGAGACTATTTACCAACAAAAGGGCTGGCACCTCTTAATAATTATTCATTGATAAGTGATTAAAACATTAACCAATAACAAGACAAGACAAGACAAGCGAAGAAAATAACTTTACATAAAAATAAAAGATATATTTTTCGTGCAAATCCAAGGAAAATTTCTTCGCACACGTTTATACATAAATCGTTCCTTTATTAGAATAAAAATTGAGTGCGGCTATTTTTTGGCTACGCTTTTCTTTTGATTTCCAATAAAAGCTCAAGAATCTAAGATGTTCCGACCTAAAGTTTGATGATTACCGTTACTTCGTTACTTCTTTTGGCGCCAATTGGAAATATCAAGGGAAAGCAGATCGTTCGCCTCGTGATATTTCCAACGGAGTGAAGGATTTAACTTGTCTTCATCAGAACTGCATCGACTTGTCTTCTTAATTCACTTGTTCTGCAAAACCTTCTCACTCTCGAAAACTGCTAATGCTTCAAAGTTATGACTATCAACAGTGACGTGGCAACAAAAATGATGAAAGGAGATATTTTCCTAGGAGATAAGTCCCTGCCATAAAAATTCTGATGAGGTGATGTGGTAATCTCGGAAAAACATGTCACTTCTACCATTTTTCTTTGTTGTATAACAAAAATATCACTAAAAAACTTATAACAAAAAAGTAACACATTTCGTTTTGTCCTCGTTCACTATCAGACCCGTTTGTTTCGCCAATTTTTCTAACCTGGAGGAAGCAGAATTAATGAGGCGGTCGTTAAAGCCAATGATACAAATGCCTTGTTAGAGATTGTACATTATATTTAGTCCGGTAACTGATATTGTATTCTCCAACGACCACGTGATCCATTGGTCATACAATAGAGAGCCAAACTGCCTCAACTATCTTGAAGAGATCATTCCATATTCTGCTGTTGTCCAGCGGCAGTTTACAAAGCCCCATAAGTTTCGTGAGGATTCCAAAGGGGGACATAGCAGCTTTGCATAATGTCTAAGGCAACATTAAAGCGAGGAATAATTGGTGTGTCTGTGTTTTACTTTTAACAAAGGATTTCGCGTGCTAAGCTTATTTTGATAATCAATTGTTACAATAGCGGCAGCTCTCTTATATCGAGCTACTGATGATTGCTCTCAGAGCGCTGTTGAGCCTTCTTTGTTTTAGTTGACGAGTGTTCTTTGTCTACAACGCTGAAGACGTATCTTCCGTCTAGTACAGTAGGAGCAATCATCATCAACTAAAACTGCTTGATCCAAAATCAACAGCCACATAACTGAATAAATTCCATAAGATGTTTTGCAATGGAGACGGAATTTTACGACTTTTGTTCCAAAAATAATTACTTCGCCCACTCTGGCCTCAAAATAGTAAAGCACAATTTGACGTTGTTGTTTCTGTCCTTATGCTGTCCATCACACTTCTTGGATGTCAGTGATGTCAGCCTTCAATCGTAAGAGAACAACAACCAGCTGGGCAGCTACACTTTCCCCAAATGAGCGACCGAGCATCATCCTCTCAAATAAAGATCATTGAAACGTTTGCCGACGTTCGTCATTTCTCATCTGATGCATATTGTCGATTTGTTTACAGAAGCAATATTTTTTATGTCGTAGGCCCAGAATTCTACGCACAACCTCAGGTGATTGTCTTCTGCTTTAAGTCGTAAACGAATTTTCATTTCATATATCTTCCGAAATCGCTAAACTACTTATCTGATAATTTTGTAAACCCTATTTTCGGCTTACTCCAATTTATGGCGTGCATCTTGATGATCTGTAGTTTTATGCCCCTTCCGAAGGGCCGGCCGATGGATTTTTATGAAGGCATTTTTTGATTTGACTCACCTTTTTCGATAATTGGGAATTTTCGTCTAATCAGCATTACAGATGTTGAACTTTCACCATAGCTTACGACTCAATATAGTTTACTAAATGTATTTTTATATATAATTGGCGCTTTTTAAGCACTGAAGACATTTTTGGCCGAATGGAGGGACCTACAATTTAATCTAAGCCGCCTCAGAACGGTCGACGGATTTTTATGAATAGCTTTGATTATCATGCCACAAATAACACGGAGTGCTTGATATTCGCTGCCGGGAGGCGATCGCAATTACAATTTTGAATATTGGTCGAACTAGTAGATACTCGAACCCTGGCCTTCCGAATGTTAGCGCGCAATGCTATACACCCGGCTACTGCGACTATTACTACAATATATTCTATGACAATATAATTATATTATTATTTCATATTAATTGTACACGTAACTATGCGAGTATTTCCACGTGGTCTGGACACTGTCCTCAATAAAATATTATAAAAATGTCCTTACTTCTGGTCATTTGATGAACTTAAATAATGTGATGAGCAAACCATTAGTGACATTTCAAGTTGATCTAATTAATATTTGCATAGTGATAACCATAATTTTGTGAAATAATGTTGATGTTCTTTTATAATTAACACAAACACATTCAAATATAGCATTTTTATGTAACTGAATATTCATTAATTAAATATAATTTCATATCTAATATTTTTTCCGACAAACGTTTACTACCCTCGTTCACAGATGTGGTTTTCATAAAATAGTTCCGGAGGCGATAACACCTCCCTCATAATATGTTATGCTCTGTCATAATATGATCTACTCAATTTTTTCAATTTTTTTTGCTCCCGGCGGGTGTCAATGGCATTATAACTGACGATCATTCACCGGAAAGATCGTATCATACATGATTCTTAATGGTTGAAGAAAAGCTGGAACATCGCCGACCACATCCACTGAGACTATCATGGATCAGTTATGTCAGACTACTAAAGAAGTCTGACTGGAAGCTGACAAAACAAAAATATATGATGATTATGCTTATATCAGACGGAATGAACTACTTACATAAACTTTACATTCATTCAACTGTGGGGTACGACCTGTGCAACTAATAGTCCGCTAGGTAATGCTTTATGCAACCCATCGAGAAATCTGCCTACACCAAAGAGAAAGTTCCCGCCTTCTAAGGAGAGCGCCGTAGTTTGAAACGGGCTCAAAGTTAAATAACTCGAACTATCATGTTTGTAATTTAGTTTATAAGATTTGTACATATACTGTTCGGCTTATATTATAGCAGATCAAGTAAATAATTGAATTCTGTATAATAAAAAAATTAAATAACTTCACAGTATTTGTGAACGATTCGATAGACACCAAGAGGCTTGCTCCAGATTGCTCTCGTCATCATGGGAGAGTCTCAGCTTCACGTTCTCTAGTTGTAGGCCCTTTTTAGGAGAGTTATTCACAGTAGGTACTAACTCAAAATGAAAATTTTCAATTTCTATGATGATTTTACTATTCCATTAGGCATGCACACAGTGGGGCTAGAGGTGTGACAATTAGGTAATGAGACTGATTCCATAAAAACCGTATATTACAAAATCATTCTGCAGCTCTGCCATCCCTTTCCCTTGGGCAGCTATATAACGATTCCACCGCGTTTGCCATGCTTCGCAACATTTTTGGAACGTTTCGACTGGGATGTCTGCGAGTATCCTCGTTGCATTTCTTGCAATACGACAATCCCTTTACTGGGACACGCTGAGAGCTTTGTGGCACGGTGTGTTGTCATGATGAAGAATTCAGTTTCTTTTGCAAATGCGAATGCAAAATAAAGTAGTGGAGTCCATTTAAATTTATTGGGATAGAAACCGAGAATTGAAGAGGAAAGCAAGACGCATCTGCAGAAAAAAAGAAAGAGGCGGATATGAGTGAGTATGAACAGCTTGAGAAGCTGGCCGCCAAGGGTAATGCTCGAAAATTCTATGAGATGATACGTCGGCTGATAGAAAGTTTCAAGATCGAAACAGACTCTTGTAGGACACAAAGAGATGATACCCAAAGTAAACTGAACTTATGAAGGCAACCATTTTCTAGCCTACTCAATGACAGTCAAAATGAAGCACACGGAGATGTTGAACCCGAAATTCTAATTGAAGACGAAGGAAAAGTTGTTCCTTTTCCATACTATGAAGAAGTCTGAATAGCAATCGCCTGCTTAAAGAACAACAAAGCGGCTGGGACCGATTGATTACCGGCCGAGCTATTCAAACACGGCGGTGAAGAACTGATCAGCTGCATGCATAAACTTCTTTGCAGAATATGGTCGGACGAAAGCATGTCCGGCTATTGGAATTTAAATGTACTCTGCCCGATTCCCAAAAGGGAACCCCACAGTGTACGCCAATTATCGTGGGATCAGCTTTCTTAATATCGCATATAAGGCTCTATCGAGGTTTTTTGTGTGGAAGACCAAAGCCGTCAACAAACTGATTAATATTCTGAACAGATATTCACCATGCGACAAATCTTGAAAAAGACCCATGAAAAGAAGATCGTCACCCACCATCTCTTCGTCGATTTTAAAGCCGCCTTCGACAGCAAGAATAGGGGCTGTCTATTCAATAAACCCTGCACCTAGTAATTATTTCATCGTGGGTGCAAAAAAAAAAAAATAAAATTGTATTTCAAATCAAGAAACTTGTGATATTTTTGCATGTTATCCTTTGAGGGTGGAGAGGTTGCCTATTTGCCAGAGCACAGTAGAGGGAAAAATATTGAGAAAAGAACGCAAAGCAATGAAAAATGCTCAGATCGAAACACGATCTTTGGCGAAAAATAAATAAAACAGAAATAGTTAAAAATTATACGATTCTTTATTATACGCATAAATATGCACATATACATACATATATACGCACATATGAACGAATGTTTCTTTATTCTAAGCTTAATTATTGTGGATTTATTGTGCGTATGACTAAATGTAATGAAATTCTATATAAGCAAATCGACCTATCACAGATTAATTTATATACGTACATATGTGCATATGAATATGTATGTATGTGCATAAACTTAAATTCTTCTCGCTTAATTTTGTTTGTGTTTTTATACATAAAAAATGCAAATTAATTTATTTTTCTAATCATTAATTGGCAGCATTTGCAACGTGTTGCAAATCTTTTGCAAACACTTTCACTAAAAATCACTTTCACTTCCTAAATACATTACAGTTACAGAATAAGTAATTATTGTAAATAAAACATTTCCCTTAACTTATTTGATCGATACTTCCTGCATTTCCACTGGAGCCGCTTGATAACGCTGCGATTTGACACCAGTGCGAAACTGGTCTTCAATGGCGAGTAGGGTGCGGCCGCGAGTCTCCGGCAACACCGCGTACACATAAATCGCAGCTACAAACGCCATTATACCATAAATGACAAAACAATATTCATTATCCAAGGCGTTCTTCATCGCGGGATATGTTTTAATGCAGATGAAGGCAAAACACATGCCAACCGCCACTGTTAAGCCTGAAGCTGCACCGCGTACTTTCTGTGGGAAGAGCTCAGATATCATGAAGAATGGTAACGTGTACAGTCCGAATGTGCTTAGTACAATGAAGGCGATAATGGCAATGACGGGCAAGTATGGTATGCTTTGCAGCCACGAAACCCAACTGTAACCAGCCAACAGGAACATACACACGCACATGCCCAGAGCCGAAACAATGCCCGAGCGTCGACGACCCCATCTTTCTAATATAACACCGAGTAGAAGAGTAGTGGTTACACGTCCTATGCCTATCATTATGGCACACATGAAAGGATCAATGGAAACGCCAGCCTCTTGTGAAATCTGCACAGCATAAACGACGACGACGAAGATGCCAGTTAACTGTTGGAAGGCAAAGAGACCCATGAGTATTAACAATGGCTTGTACACTTCCGGCTCGCGAATAGATTTCAAAAATGGCGGCTTCTTTACACCTTCACCCAATTGAATTGATTTCTGCATCAAATTGTATTCAGCCAAAACTTCAGGATGCACGATTTCACCTTAAAAGAAAAACAAAATAAGTGTATTACACACATACATATGTAAATGCCTGGAAAAGATATTCTATTCACTCCAAACACTTACTGGATCTCTCTAGTCCGCGAAAGTAATTGAGCGCTCTTTTCGCTTCCTCAAGGCGTCCTTTATATACCAGCCAGCTGGGCGATTCCGGCATTGGAATTACGCAAATCATTGCCACTATTTGGTAGACGCAGCAAATAATTGCTATCAACTGCCAATCATTACGGATAAAATATCCCAATATGTATATAACCAAAATACCGAGAGCAATTGACACCGATGTGCCCAGAATGAGTCGTCCTCGGATACGGGGCAAGCTAATTTCAGCCGAGTATACACCAACCGGCGCACTAGCGATGCCCATGGCAATACCTGGAAGAAAAGTAGTAAATATAGAAAATTAGCTATTTTGTTTGCGTAACTTAAGCAAGAGAGTTTGAGTGTAGCGACTGCTTAAATGTAAAATTTAAATGAATTTGAATGAATTGAACATTTATGTTCTCTGCTGCTCATTTAATTTCGGCTGACCAAATCACTGATGCCGGAGATCGCCTTATGAAGGAGATTCAGTGTGAGATGGGTAAACTCTCTACTGGGGCAAACAACTTTGACCTACTGACAAATCAATATCCAACCCGATGAAACGTGATAATGAAGAAAATATTATTCAGTTATCGTGCTTCGACCAAACCTGCAGAAGTGCCTGAGTTATTTTAGCCGGCTGTTTACACTACACCCTTCGGTAGACAAAATGTATCGGTAAGTCACCGTCCACGGCTCAAATTGCTTAACAGCAGCGGGACGCTTGATTTCTCCACTGGATTAAGCACACTGATGATAAAACATCTTAGCCAGTTGGAGCAGACTATCTCACCAAGGTTCTCAGCTTGACTTTGAACACTCTAACAATACCCGATATGTGGCTCGCTGCTTGATCGGCCGATACCCCTTCTTTACTAAGTAGCAAAAATCAATGAAGCTTTGCTGTTTCTGTACTTTACACGCCATCTGAACGCAGCAAAACATGAGCGTGGCTTCCGTAAACCGCACATATATAAACCGGCCCTGCGAGTATGAGTAGCCTCTACATAAACCGGCCCTGCAAGTGAACTATCCTGGTAGCACTTGATCTGTACTAAATACTACTTGATCATCACTATTCGATTATGCGGAGTAACATCTTATCGGTAGAGTTTCGATGTCAAACTTCGAAACTCTGAAAAATTAAACACGGAGTACCGCAGGATGATGTCCTCGTACCCCTTCTATCTAGTTTATACATTTCAAAGCTACCTCCTCCACCAGAGGGCGTTGTGATGATATCATATGCCGTTGAATGCACGACATTGGTGTTTTCCCAGGATAAGACTAATCTTTGTTCGAAACATATTTACTCCCAGTCAAGGAACATAATGTGATATAGTGTAGTCAATATCTGCTGGGATTCATTCGTCGAGATCATCCCAACAGGCACATACTTGAAACTGAACCTAGACCCTGACGCTTGCGTAAGGACTCGCTTGACTAAAACGATTCCATACATCAATTTAGACAAAAACTGCTTGACAGGACAGCGTGCCGACAAGCGCTAAGAAATCGAGAGCTGAGTCGTATTAACAAATGATGTGAGGTGTGACTTGTAGAGCTTGGCATTTGTTGAAGTAAAGTTTTACTTTACTTTCAAATTTATTCACACAGAAGGTTATAATCAATGGAATAATGAGGAAATTCTTATAAACAAATAAATAATAATATTAAACTTTTGGTAATTCGGTTTTGCAAAAAGCAATTAATGGACGCTTTACTCACCGATACAAAAGCGCGATACCATAAGCTGGATGAAAACAATATCCACATCGCTCTCTACCGCAAACGCCATCAATGCCCATGCAGTGAGAGCAATAACATTTAACACATATAGAGTATTTTTTCGTCCCAATTTGTCCAATAGCATACCGGAGAGCAGACCACCGAGAGGACAAGAAAGCGTATTAATCGAGGCTAAAGCATAATTTGGAAATTATTATCATAAAATAATGCTCGCTAACCATGGAGATATTCGTCACTTACCGAACCACGAGGCCTGTGACTCGCTCAGATGAACCGCTTCATTGGGATCAGTCAACTGTCTCATTGTAACTGTTGGTAGACCAAGCGCCATGCCGGCTGAGAGCAAACCGATGTTACCCAAAACGACCATAAATGTTTGTCGACGTACAGCACGGGTCTGTTCACCAAGCGGTATATGCTTCGCTGGCCGATTGAGTCCGGATACAATCTGTGGCGTTTTCCCATTTTTTGTTGTTAAAGACTGCAATTCTTCTGGTTTTACGACATTTGTTTCGGCCATTCTATTTTGTAGGTGAAAAATAATAAATGTTGAATAAAATTGTATGAAAGTTGACATTTTTTAATAAATAAAAAAAAATACAGTAACACATTCAAAATAATTGTATTTTCATTATTAGACATGATGCAATAAATGACGCTCGGAGACAGCTTCTCGCTCTAATCTCTTCATATTGACTGCCTTAGAAAAACAGTGTATTTTTTCCATAATTTGAGGAGGATTTTTTAAATAATAATAAGTGTTTGTCATATTTTCATAAATAATTTGCACTTAGTTTTATAGGGAATTTTTTTCAAACAAATCGAAGTGTAAAGATAGCGCCTCTAGTTTGGGTTTAAAGAATGATGTTTTATGAATAAGTTAAAGTTAGCCGAAGCAGTTGCCTAGCAAAAAATTGTCGGATAAGATGAATATACGTTTGGACAAAATATTTTCATCTTGAAACAATAGTGAGTCTACTGAGGATAACATTGCTTTTTTAATTCGTCATACAAATTTTCGTGACTGAATTTGGAGGAGAGGCTTAAAACCTCTACGATGTTTCATATCACGGTTACAGCTTAAGTGAATGTATGAATGTCCAGCGGGCTATGAAACGCACCCAGCAAATCTGTTATGTGGTTCCTGCCACTTTCGAAAAAAATTTATTCAATGTTTGTATATTAATTCAAACCATAAGAGAGATTTTATCAAATATACGTACATAGATGAGTCTCTGGTACACTTACGAGAAAAAAGTATTGTTATGCCAAGCAAAAGGCTGCCAATGCACCAAACTCCAAATAAATGGAACTATAAATTTTTTTCGAAGAATTTAATTCCTGGTCCATTTCCCGGTGTGAAAAATAGATATTTTGTCCGATTCTTATATCTATTTCGAAGGAGCTTAGTTATAAACACTCCTCTAACACGAGGCTTCGAATTCAAAACTTATTTGGAAATTTTTGATGGATATGGCAACAGCAAAGAAGCGAAGTGTGGGATCAAGTATAAAGAATAGAATTGGAAAAGCATAATGTATTTTCTATTGTGTTCGAACAATTTCCTAAGGTATTCCAACTTATTTAGAACTAAAAAATCATACAGGCGATGATAGTATTTTTCTCAACAGAAGCCATATAATGTGAAAATACAGTAAATGTTAATGAAATGGAGCCGAAAAAAGCTATTCCAATAGAATTATCAAATATTAAGTATAAATATAAAAAATATTTTTTTAAGAACTGAGGTCAATTATACGATTTTATATATTAAAATTAATAATGATAAATAAAAATTTTGAATGAAACCTTTAGAAAACTATATTTTTCTTTTTCTTTTACTAAGATAAGTGGCAGCCAGTTGGAAATAAATACTTTTCCCAACAAACATATGGGCTTAACGGCTCATGAAAATACATTTAATTTTAATATTTTCCTAAAAATTCTATTATATTATGGTTAATTTTATTTTATTTAAATGCATTTCATCTGCAAAGCATACACCAAGAAAAAGAGGAAAAAAAATATTTAACAGATGCATATAAGATTCATCAATTTAACATATTGTGTAATAAACAATTAATTTAAAATCAATCAACGTTAATCAAAATGTTATGCACCACTGCGATGTGGACAATGAAGCGGAGCAGCGGTCAACATTGGAGCGATATGATAATTTATCAGCATGTCGTTTTAATTGATACAATATATGTACACACATTGCACTCTGCATATATATGTGTGTATATTCTTACGTGTGTACGCGAGTGTGTTTGAGTTGTTAGGCGGCACTAAACTAGCTCCTTGAATACTTGAGTATATGAAATATTTCTTTGCATGACGACTACGATTCCACTTAGATTTTGTTGTAAGTGTCGGCAATAAATTGCAACAGAATGAATTGAATGCCAACTTATCGGTTATAACAATTAAAATGGAAATGGAAATGGCTAAAATTTATACAGAAACTTTAAAGTTCCTCGCAAATTAAAGACATTATCACAACTGTCGACAAAAACACCCACATATATGTATTTATCTGAGAAAAATCTTGACCAAAACTCGCTAAAGTATCCAGAAAGACCCATATATATGTAGACGTATTAGAGCATTAACAGACGAATTTTTCTCCAACACATTAAAAATTTGTGGTCCGATATTGATAATTATTCTCAATTTCGCTTTACTAAAATCTGCCTTTTTGGCTTCGAAAGCTTCAATTTAATATTTTAAAGATGATTTATAATTAGCGGTCTATTTGGCTGGAAGACTGCTTTCGCACGTAGAAGAAGTGAAAAGCAATTTAAGAAAGCAGAGTTAGTTTTTCTTGCATGCTGGTAATTAGCGACAAGCGTTCTTTGGTTATTTGCCCCCAATAAGTTCTCCTAAAGGATGAAGCTATAGGAAAGTTTTTCAAAAAAAAAAACACATAAAATTCATAAAAATTAATGAAATCTTTATTTGAATCGATAGTACGGTCCACATAATTTAATGTTTGAAGATTATTTCATGCAAATGTTGATCGTGATTGCGCTCAAATGGTCCATCCGCTTAGTCCAATTGTGGCTTACTCTTTTCAACATTTCAGCCGGTATCTCACGAATAAATGCTTCAATGTTGTCCTCCAATTCGTCAATTGAAGCAGACTTGTCTGTATAGACATTAGATTTAACGTAGCCCCGACTAAAAAGTGTCTAAAGGCGTTAAATCGCACGATCAAGGGGCCAGTTGACCGGTTCCGAACGTGAAATCAAATGTTCACCGAACTCGCCTCTCAATAAGTCCATTGTTACGCGTGCTGTGTGGCATGTGGCACCGTCTTGTTGAAACCGAATGCCATGTAAGTCAAGCTCTTGCATTTTGGCCAAAAAAAAAGTTTGATATCATCTCACGGTAGCGCTCACCATTCACAGTTAGGTTGCGATTCGCATCATCTTTGCAGAAATACGGTCCAATGATGCCACCAGCCTATAAACCGCACCACACTGTGACATTTTCTGAATGCAATTGGTAGTTCTTGCAATGCTTCTGGCTGATCTTCACTCCAAAATCGACAATTCTGCTTATTTACGCACCCATTAAGCCAACAATGAGCTTTGATTGATAATATAATAAAATTCAATAATTTGCAAGCGTTGTTTGTTTGTAGGACGATTCATGGTTAAATTATAGACCAAACTGTGATACAAAACACGAAACGTGCGTCAGCTATTGAAACCAATGTTGCCAAAAGATATTAGCTAAATAATCACCCTTTATATCCGTGCCTCTTATCTGACTTATTTGTAATACCTGTTACTCCGGTGTAGCAAAGACTGGTTGTTGTTGAAACGTTCACAATTCTATAGACGATAAACGGACGGAACAGATTAGTCAGATTAATCGCTGGCTTTTACTCTTTACCAGTAGTAATTATAATCACTATAACTTTTGAATTGAATTACTTTTAATTAATTTCAGTTCGAATTATATTATAAAAAAAAAATATTTTTAGATTTTCACTTTTTCGAATTTAATCAAATACAAATGGAACTAAATATTTTTTAAATTTGTAATCATAAAACTTTTTTATAATTTCCTCCAATGATATTCAATGCAGCGCATTGCTATGGGCAGTACGGATGTAAAAATAAAAAAAAAACATGCAATTCTGTTCTCAGCCCACTCTAGTAATAATTCATTAATTATTTGCATAAATACATTAAATAGAGATTAGTTATTATTAATGAATATTCAAATCATTAATGCACATTTTAATTGCCATAAAAATAGTGTTTGCCATATCATTGGCAAGTTTAATTCTATCAATCGAAACGAAATAAATAAACTCAAATATCACGTTCATGATACAAAAAGGAAGATAATTGCATTCAATATTGAAACCAAATGATTTTTTGTGTTTTCTGTTCTACTCTAAATGAAAGCACGTCGACACAGACGAGAAAGGTCTGGCTGTAAGAGAGTGCTCGCTTGGCGTTGTCTTAGCTATTGAAGAAAACTTTAGCGATATTATTTTTAAGATCATAATGAAAGTTCTTCAAGAAATTGATCTTGACTAGCCTGTTTTAGTACTTGTGAAATCTCTCCTGATGAACAGGATAATCTTCATCGGAGCTACTTCTCAAGTTAGAGTATTATCCCCACTGTTATGGGGCCTCACAATGAATACGCTTATTCGGCTATTAGATACATCAGATACAGGTTGTGTGTGGTATGTGGAAGCATACGTTGACGGTATGACCTAACAGTGGCAGGGAAGCACCCGCAAAACTTAAGGGATTTATTGGCTTCATTATTCACCTTCTCCCGAAATTGCTTGAACTTCTCCTTAATATCCTTAAAAATCCACGGACTATAGACGGTTGAGTTTCCATCAGCTCTACCAGCAGTTGCAGATGCACTTTACGCGCTGTTTCTTAACCCAAAGAAATCATTAATGTGTTAAATATATTAAATGCTTACATTCTTTTATAACAACTCACACACCATTTCTATGTAAATGTATGCCGAATATTGAAATAATCCAACTTTTTCCATTTTCCCATTTTCGCAGTTTGTTTAAAATACGAGGAAAGGGAAAAGTGAAAAAATCCGTAAAATTGCTCTATTTATGATAGAAGAAGTGGGAAAAGTGAGCATTTAGAATAGGGTTGATTTTCTTCTGTGGTCCGGGCGATATTCAATATCAATTGGTATGCATTTGTTCAATATTTCTCATTTGTGTATTTCGCTATACGGCGCTTATAGAGCTTGACTCCCTGATAACTGATAAGATTATAAAACGCAAATGTAGTTGCTGAATAAATAACGGTACTTCTAATCAGTCACTTTTAACGTGTAATCAGTACTAAAACAATCTAACGTTAATAAAGGTCAAGTTATCTGCATTATAATAGTCTACATACTTACATACATACATACTTACATATGTAACAACAACAAATTAGTTTATACAATTGTGCACGCGGCTTTTGAATGAGTGCGCAAATTACAAAGAAGAAATATTATATAAAACAATGCAACAATGTAAATATTGACTTAGCTTTAGTTTGGCGGAATTAGTGCTGTTTTAACTGAGATTATGTGTGACTTATTTCTTTTCAAAAATACAGACGTAAATATTTAGTATATTTGCAAATATTGTTGTTATAATAAAAAAACGCTTAAAATAATTTAAAATGCATATAAATATTCATAATATTATATACGCGTACAGGTTAATGTTGGTTGAGACCAATTTATAAAGCAAACTTGTCATGATTACACGTTCTTAGAAGAACTAGACCAAATTAATATTCAGACGTAGTGAACAGTAAAATGTTCAAGCAACTAAAGGGGTTTTGGGTTAAAAGGCTTCTAATTTAGCGACATCACTTCTGCTAAGTCGATATCATTTTTTAAATGTTATTAGCAAATAATGGACACCCTAATGCTCGTGAATAATATGGTTTTCCGCTATAAAATTTGTTTTAACCGCAAATTAATGGATAGATTCCATATAAAATAGAAAATGAAAACAAGAAGAGTTGAAAGTGAAAGAAGATATATGTATTTCCCAGATATGCGTTAAGTATTATACTTACACTGAAAAGTTTTACATAGACTTGCAGTGCGCGGAAAACTTAGGATTCAGTGAATCTGAGTATCTGACTTTATTTAATAATATGATATGCATATTTTTATATAAATTCAAAACGATATGCGGTAAATCACGTAAATTCCTCGCAGTATCAACACTTTAAATGATTTTTAATTTTATTTTGGGATCGTACGCTTCTGGTAAAGGTCAAAAATGAACACTTTGTGCTGTAAGTTCTAAAGGAAAACTATCCGTCTAACCGACTAATTGACTATTGTAAAAGCTTTTTTTTTTTATCTGTTTCAAGGCGCGTCAGACCTATTGGCAAGTTCTTGGTATGAAAAGCTAATGCGATTGTTGCCTAATCAGAGAAGTATATGTGCATAGTAAATCTTTATCAATACTTTATACTAATTGACGTAGAGGCGATTATATATTTGTGCTCAATTCCATTAAAACTCCAAGTAACCTTGTCAACAAATTCAAATATGTATATTGACGTCAGAAGTGTTAAAGATTTATAAACAAAAATTAGAATAGTTTTAGGTTTTATTGTTTATAATAATTTTAGTCAGCCGGCGTTTGCCGAATTTTTAATAAATGAAGTAAAAGTTAATTCAAATAAATATATATGAATAATATGAAATGCAGGACTTGTTTTATATATTATAATTTATTTTATTTAAATTTATTTTATTTTCTAATTATATCTTTATGAACCAAAAATTTGTAATTACAAGAGAGAGAAAGGAAAGATTGACCAAAATTTATACCGATACGATCAAACGGCGAGTTCTGTAGATTTAGCCACGTCAGTTTGTTAGTCTGTCTGTTCGGCTGTTTAAACGAAAGCTAGTCCGCAGGGTTGTGGACACTACAAGCAAAGTTGACACGCAGATGAACATTTATACTGTTCGGTCTACTATATATACATATTTTTTTTTTTAACGCCCTTTTTACAATATTCAAGATTTTGGGTAATAAATTCGTCGAAAAAGCATATAAGAATGTCAAATTTCGTGTCCTACTGCGTAATACGTTTTAGATGATCGTGAAGGGTATAAAGACTTTGATTTGCTTTTCATTTTCTTTTATATTACTTTAATTTCTTTTATGTTTATTTTTTTCGTTTTTTAAGTTTTAATAATTTTTATTTCATTTTATTTATTTTTCTGTTTATTTCGATTTATTTTATTATATTTCTTTTAAAGCTATTTTATTTTATCTTATTTTATTTTACTTCATTTTTTTTATTTCGTTTTGATTAACATTTCTTTTTTTAATTATTTTTTGTTTCAGTTTTTTATTTTGTTCAATTTTACTTTATTCTAATTTCTCTTATTTAATTTACTTTACAATTGTATTATATTATATTTAATTAAATTTATTTTATTTTAAATTATATCATATTCGTTTTTTATTTCTTTTTATTTAATTATCTTTTTTTTTATTTAATTTGACTTTATTTTATCTTCTTTTATTTAACTTTATTTTATTTTATTTTGTTGTATTCCTTTTTGTTTCACTATTTATTTTTATTTTATTTTTTGCTTAATTTTATTTCTATTTAATTATTTTATTCTACTTTATGTTTTCATTTTAAATAAAAAAACACTTTATTTTCCTTATTATTTTTTGTTCTTTAATCTACTTTCTAAATATAAAGATATTTTTTTTTATTTTAATTTTGATTAAAAAAAATTGTTTGGTTTTATTACTTGTTTTAATTTTATTTTGATTAATTTCGTTTTTTTATTTAATTCAGTTTTGTTAATTTTATTTTATTCCTCTTTATTTTATTTTGATTGATTTCATTTTATTTATTTTAATTTTTTTTTTCAATTAAATTTATTTTTTAATTTTATTTGATTTCTTTCTAATTTAATTTTTTTTCTTTTTTATATTTCATTTTAGTTTTTATATTTTGTTATCTTATTTTGCTTAATTTTTTTTTATTTTATTTTTATTTTATTTTAATAAGTTTTTTTTCACTTTATTTATGTTAGTTCAGCTTACTCATTTTTAAATTTATTATATTTTATTTTCTTATAATTCATCATAAAATAAACTAAATTTTATTTTATTTGCTAATTGTATTTTATTTTAGCTTTTTATTTCACTTTAATATGTTTTTTTTTACTTTATTCATTTTATTTTAGTTTACCTCTATTTAATATTATTTATTTCAATTTTCTCGTAATTCATTTTATATTATTTAATTTTGTTTTATTTTAATTTTTTTTTGCAATTATTTATTAGATTTTGTTTATATTATCCATTAAAAACCCTTCGTACAATATTTACTCTATTTTATATCCTTTACATTTAAATTCCTTGTTTCCATTTTAATTTATTTTATTTTATAATAAATTATTTATTTTATTTATCTTTAATATATTTCTTTTTATATGTTATCACTTTTTATTATTATACTTCATTTGATTTCCTTCTAATTTAACTTAATTTTAATTTACTGTTTTTTTATTTAATTTTAATTAATTATTTTTTTTTTATTTAAGTTTAATTTAATTACTTGTTTTTCATTTTAATTTACTTTTTATATTATCTGAATAGATTTTATTCTAGTTTATATAACTTTATATTATTCAAATTCATTTTACTTTCTTTTATTTCTGTTTAATTACATTATTATATTTTTTTTAATTTTATTTAATTATTTGAGTTTATTTTTTCTGTCGTTTTTTTTTAAAATATTCTTATGAAATACAATATTTTACTGCTACAAAATCCTACCCAAATATTTTAAGTAATTCAAAAAATATGCATGCTGCAGTAGTTAAATGATATTAATTCGGAAATTGTTTGCTATAATAATATATAAATGCAATTGCATCGGGAAGCAGCACTACTCACATTACTAAAGATTTTTGGTTCCTTTTTTATAAGCGGCCACTACACTGTCTGTTCAATGAAAACGGTTGGTTGTTCCACCTGAGATTGGCTTAAACATATGCGGACGTTGAAAACTGGAAACACCACTTTTTGAGTCGTGCCTTTTTTAAATATACTCGTATACACAAAAAATACAATAATGCACCACAAAAATTAGAATAACACAAACAGATTGTCACGAGACAAACATACATAAGTATGTCTGTATGTATGTATGTATGCGCCTTGAAATTAGTTGCCGCGATCGGTTGTAAAAATGGAAAACTGGTTATTCTCGCTCAAAATAAACTGCAAGAGTGTTGAGCGACACGCAGACAGCTGTTTTACCACACTTTTGAAGTTCAAGTGTGACACATTTACTTTATGAAGCCAAAAATAGATGTCAACCCGATGAAGTGCGTGGACGTTAGAGCAGCGAACGCGCTTTACTGAGCGATTGAAGCAACGCTATAGCCGTTTGAAGTCAAACCGTCCGATTTGAAGCAGATACGCCAGCAGACTAAAGCACCAATGCCGCGTAGCTAAGCCTTAAAGCGGCAAACAAACGCTTCTGGTTTCTGTGAGCTGACTTGACTCATCGACCATCGTTCGATCGTTAACGTGCTCAACTCTTGCTTACTACTTCTGGGCATCCTAAGCTTTGTTCGGCTATGTATTGTCCATTAATAATCTTTGGTACAAGTATAATGTACATTTTCTAATACTCTTACGATAGCTCTCCATTTTAATAACCTCATGTATATACATATGTACATATGTATGTATATGAATACACACCCAGTGAACGCTGATAGTATTTATCGATATAAGTAGCTCGTCATTGCGCAATCACAATCGCCACAAAGGAATAGCAGTAATTATTTTATTAACAAAAAAAGGTAAAAACAACAAAAGAAAGATGCAATGCAGTCAGCTGAGAGTGGCTGTTATCAACAGAAGTAAACAACTCTTTCCGTTTTAGAATATGTGTGCTATAGACTGTTTGACTTTGTTACGTTTCGCTGTGATTGAAAAGTCATTCCTTCGCACACACCAGCTGGCTTATCAGCAGTGGCTTTGCAGTTTTCGTACTCAAGCGGAAAGACACGGTAGTCCACCAAGGTTTTCACTCTCGCGTTTGTTCGCGTGCCGACTGTCACTGGACTGAGTTGAATATTCTCATATTTTTAACTGGCAAAAGACTTTTCTATAAATATGTTCATATATACGTTCTTCTTCAGTCCTTTTTTTTTGCAGTTGGACGCCAATTGGTTATACTACTTCTGCCATGGCATTACCAGGTTACTGGATATATAACCATTAGATACTGCTACACTTTCTGTTGTGTCCTTAGCTTGATGTACCCTGTTCTCTTGGTAAAATGGATCAGGCGGTGTGAATGTTCACGTCTGATTGTGGATCACGGGGGAGCTAAAATCTTCGGAAAAACATTTCCGTCGACGAAAACTTTCCATTGAGACCTGCTAAGCTGACTCCTCGAGTATATTTAGTGTCCGCGCCTCTGAACTACAAATGACTGGTAGAGCCCTTAGTTGAGAGAGGTCAAAGAAACACCTCTGTAAGAAGTCGTTCCGCGTGTACAACTTCGAAATGAATATTATCAAAAGAGGTGCAAGAAGCTGTGAAGTCTTGTAGAAAATTGTTTCCTATTCTTAGTTGTTATATACATATGTATATAGATATCCGCGTTTCGGTTCATTATGAATTCGTTCCAATGGGACAGACGGTCAATAGAGAGTATTATTTGAGCGTTTTGAGGCATTTGCGTGAAAGCATCCATCGTAAACGGCCGGAATTTTGGGCAAGCAATTTCCAGAAACTTTCATGACAACAATGCGCCATCGCACCGAGCTGTAGTTGTGAATGATTTCAAGGCCTAAAACTCGTTCAATAGCATGGATCAACCGCTACATGCGACTTTTTTTTGTATTCAAAGCTCAAATTACCCCTCCGTGGAACCCGTTTCATCTCTATGGAGGTCGTAAAAGAAAATTGGCGGAGGGAACAGAGGTCGCCTGTTAGGAACAAGCTGGCGGACAGATCGCACTTATTTTTGGCATAGTAATTAAGGACAGTGCTGCCAGCTTAACAAATAGAGGGCCGAAAAAGCCGAAAACTTTCTCATCTTAATGTATAATATTAATACTAAATACATGGGCGTTTTGTAATCACCGCTGCGATTTTCGGCCAATCTCTTCCGTCAATTTGTGTCGGGCCTCTTGATGTTTTTTCATCATAGCCTGAGAGCGGCTGAAAGAAAGGTTGCACCTTTACTTGCTCTCAAAAGGGTTTCGAAATCAATTAAAAGGACAAACCGACTTTAGTGTTTTATGCTGAAAATGTTAAAGTAAACCTAGCTTTAACTGAGTTTGTCGCGAGAAACTCATTCACAGAGGTGTAGAGTAGTTATTTGGTTCGGTGAAAGAGTTTCTCTCCCATTACTAATCCTTCTTTATAAGAGACCCCCGTAATAAAGTTTTAATTTCTTTCATCGCAACTTCGGCGCTGATATATCAAATGACATCAACTAACTGGACGCCTGCGTCTTGCCAAAAGAATAGCGAACAGAAGCGACGACAGTTTGCAGCGTCAACTCCGGACCATAAATCTTCACGAACGACGTGATAGCGCAAATGAATCGAAATTTATAAGAAGTGTTGAATTTTTCGTTCCTTTTTTGCACTGAGATTTTTTTCTAACGACCTTTTTGAGAAAAAAATTAATATTATGTTTATGGTTCAATTCGCTTCAATTTTTATACGAAGATCTCTGGTCTCTTATATACATAAATCATTGGTCTACAGTGATAGTAAAATTGGGGCTGATCCCCTCCTCCAATTTTAGGTATGCGATTTTCTGTTTTTCTAAGAAATAAAAGCAGCTTGGAGGGGTTGACATTCCCTGCCGAGGGGCGAACGCAATTAGAACATTAAACTAATTTTTTTTTAATTCTTTTTTAATTTGTTTTAACTAAATTAAAATTTTGTAATTTTTTTAATATATTATATATTGGCGGCCGCATTGCGTACGGCCATTCGGCCGCCAATATTTAATATTATATAAGACCAAATGGAAATCCAAAGACTCAACAGCGTATGGTCGAGGTCTTCTACTTTAAAATAAAAAATATATTAAAAAATATACTTCACTTTTCAAAGTCAAGCATTGCAGCCAAGTGAAGTACTTGTAACATATATAATATATGTATGTATGTATGCCATTACATATACTGCTACTAAAATTGTACTGCACTCCAAACGCGGTTGCAATTTCCCTCTATATCTACTGAAGCGCACTTAAGTACAATATTTAATAGTTGTTTTTAAATAAGATAACGGTGTCAGATATTTATAACGACACTTCAACAGAATCGGGTACATTGTTAATAATATAAATTCAAGGCAAAGCCACGTTCCTCGAATTAGTTGTTTGCTGAAGTAATAAACGATTTTGTATCTTCACGAATATAAATTTGACCTCCATAGATTGTCCGGCGATATGAATTTTTACGGAGTTCCCTTTATTTTCGAAAGATCACTTAAAGGTTTGGTTGATTAAGGCCTGCTGATTCTGGTAAAAACTGCACTGGTCAACAAAATTGGAGACTTTTTTGTCACATGTGAGATCTTGTATGTCTTAGAGCCACCCAACAACAATAAAGGAATGAAAAATATGTACACATTTTCTCGTGACATCAAAATATATATATATTTTCAGAAAAAAATTCAAAAATCTAGATTTAGGAAAATTGTTTTGCTTAAATGACAATAAATAGTAATAATTTTCTAATGGCATTTTTTTGGACTCCATTTCCCTTGATAACACTTTCCAATTAAGGAAATATCCCTATGGAACCTCTCACCGTGCTCGTCACGCACACCAACTGATAGTCCAGAGTATATGTATTTCTAATGACTTTCCATACCACAAAGATTGAGATTTAAGATTATGTTATAAATAAGGTTATTGATTATTTTTTTATAGTTTTCTGATTTATATTTTCCAAAAACGTTCTGAACAGAATTCACAAAGCATAGCCAGTCAAGTTTTCCTCCAAAGGTCTTGTCCTTTATCAGTCACCGTATTTGTTGTCCTAGAAATGTTCTCTCCTTAATTTTTTTCCTCTCTGAGGCCCAGGTCCCTATCTTCAGATACTGTTTCCTGCTGCTCTAGGACTAATTCCTCACTAGAATCCTGTTTTTCTGATCCACTTAGATGTTTCGGCATATGGAGGTCGGCAAATCAATCAATTAATGAAGCGAAATTACGATGCTGAGATATTGGAATACTGGATAGGGCGGCATTATAACGTATGTTGCACTTAGATTTGGACACATATGTACATCCATATAAATTCCAGCTCAAACAATAACTAAAGTCAACTTAACATTCACAGCTAAGCATTAAAGCCGTATATAATTCCGTTGGGTGTTTGACCAACAACTGAGCAGAAGAAAATATATATCGCAGATAATTACTTAATATTCACAATACAGCCATGGCATTTAAGCCCAATTCATTAGCAATCATTTCTTGTGTAAATCGCGGCTCTTCGTTAATTTCGGACTTCACCAAAGCTACAGTGACGTCATCAAAAGAAGTGTTTGGTGGGCCTTCTCGGGGTTGTTCTCAACAGAAAAATGTCCGGTCTAGAATCTTCGGAAGTACTTAGAAATAGTCTTTAAATCAGGTGCAATCGTTCCATATGCAATTTGGTATTCAGTGAATATTTGTATTGGCTGTGAATTACGCTGAAACCCGAAGAGAATCACATGGCGAATTTCTGTTGATGGTGGAATTTCGTCTCACCTATTCTCAGCTATCTTGCGTTTTTCGTCTCCATTTCAGCCAATCGTTCTAAAATTTCAAAGAGAGACTAATAAAGTATTAGGTGCACAACTTTGCTTCCGCCGTTTTCCGATAGGTGGCTGTACCGGTTGAGGCTGGTTGAAATATATAAATGATAATGCCTTTAAAGTGAGTGTGGACAGTGCCTAACGAATTGTCATCGCCGTTTTAGTGGCATTTGTTCTTGTTTTCGTATTATTCACGCTCGAAAATGTCCGTTTATGTGCCTAATTCTCGCAATTTGCGGGAAGTTTTACTTTTCTGTTACAATTCGGAAATAAAAATGCAGCTGAAGCGCATCGAATGCTCTCAGAAACTTACGGTGGTGCTGCTCTGAGTGAAAGAACTTGTCGGGAGTGGTTTCAACGAATATTCACGGCGCCGAAGTTATTTTTTGTATTTGGTGTGATCAGCTCGGTGTGATTTACTACGAGCTCTTAAAACCGGGTGAAACCATCACAGGAGATCGCTACCGAACGCAACTGTTGCGTCATAGTCGCGCGCTAAAAGAAAAGCGGCCACAATATCTAGAGCGACATGACAAAGTCATCCTCCAACACGACAATGCTCGGCCTCACGTCGCAAAAGTGGTCAAAAGTCCCTGGAAACGCTGAAATGGGAAGTCTTGCCCCACCCGCCGTATTCCCCAGATGTCGCCCCTTCTGGCTTCCACCTATGCCGTTCGATGACACACGGCCTGGCAGATCAATATTTTCAATCCTTCGAAGAATTGGAATAATGGATTGCTTC